GGTGGCTCTTATGCGACCATCATCACTGCCGCACATTGGAATCAGATTAATCTTGAGTATTTTTAGTTATTGTTTGTTTTTTTTAGATTTAAAATATAGTATTAACATATAAATATACACATGTTACAATATGATTGAATTGATAAGACCACACGAAGGATTTATGTACTTAATAGGGCATAATAGGGCATCTTGAGTAAGATTAAAGGGCACCGCAAACCAAATAAAGTTGTCTATATTATGCAGACCGAATCGAGCATGTCGGTGTGCAACACCATTTATTTCCTTATGAGTAAATTGAAAAAAAGAGCAAGTCGGTCATAGAAAGACAATAAAATAAAAAATGAAAATGAATAAATAATACCTTTTTGGCCTGAAGTGAAGGCTGATAATTAAAGAGGGATCAAGCAAATGAAAATGAGTCAGCATTTGAATCTCTTGTGTGGTTTATGAGAAAGTTTAAGTAGTATTTGATCAATCATGGCGGTTGGTGGCCAATTTGGCAGAAACGTGCGAAATCATTAAGCGCCACGTGTACGGAGCAGCAGCTTCAACGTTGCGTATATATGAATGCTCCTCCGACGTGCGAACCAAGTCCTGTTTTTGTGGGTCTCATTAATTTAACATGCACCTAATCGCTACTCTACATACAAACTCTAATTTCCAACACCACCCACACCAAACAAAAAACATAAACATAAACAGTTTATATATCAACTTTCACGGACTTATAAAATTATGTAAATTTAGTGAAAAATAGCCTTGATTTGAAGATCAGAGTTCGAATTTCTTTGACACATATTGATAGTGTGTGTAAGAAACTCTTTTTTTTTTTTTTTTGGTCAAGACTGAAACTTCATTTCAAGGCCGGAAAAACGGCAGAAGATCTTACACAAAAGGAAAGAAAGCAAAACTAAAAGTCTTTCACCTGAATCCATACAACTCAGCAAAGAAAAACTTTCAATCCAAAACAAAAAGAAAACTTAAGGAGGACATGGGAGTCCATCCGAGATCAGAACTTGCACTCCTCTTCCTTATAATTTAGACTATCGCTATAGATTTACTATAATTGGGATTTAAACGGATGCCATGGAAGGTAAGGGGAGGACCTCAACAACAACAACAACAGAGGTAAACCCCATTGGCTATTGAATATTTTTCTTAAAATCTTATACCCGACAAGAAAATTGAAATGTAAAAATTTTACCGTTAGCGAAAAAAAGGATATAGTGAAAAAACCAAAGGTGAATCTGACCCCATATTCTCATTTGGGTTCACGAAGTCACTCACAAACTAGCCAAGTAAATTTTTAGGCATGGAAGAAAATGGATCTGCACAACGTTGACCTCAATTACTAAAATAGAATCAAGATATCAACAAACTGAGCACTTAATAATTAGGTGAATCCATTGACCAAGAACTCACCATTAAATTGAAATTTTTTTAAAACCACTACTTGTTGGTGAAGAAGGCGAATAAACCAGAGTTTGTTTCCTTTCCGGGGTAACAAATAATAAGACAACCATGTCACCATCCATCCGTTTAATAAGTTTTGTTATATGGGAAAATGGTAGTTGTACAAAGATTTTAAATAAAAAATTATTGTACGGCCGTTGATACAGGGCCCGACATATAATTGCTATCTGAAATATATATATATTATTTAAAAAAGAATTATTTGTATGTATTTATTGCAAATGTGGACAATACTTAAGGTAGATAGGGGCTGCTGATGGGTTTTTTTTTTTTTTAAAACCTGGCTTCAAAACGACGTCGTTTTGAGCCAGGTTTTTAAAAAAAAAATTTAACACGCCTGGACCAAAACGGCGTCGTTTTGGCCAGGCGGTTTAAAAAAAAAAAGAACTCGCGCGCGCAAGGTAGGCGCTGCCTGCGCCAGCTTCTTCTTCTTCCTCTGCTGGGTATTTCGTCGAGCACTTGGTGTGCGCCATGGGGTCGCACACCAGCCAGCCATGGGGTCGCACCAGTCCTTCTCCACTACGTTTCCAAGCTTCCATGGGGTCGCCTGACCCCATTTGTCCCTCTGTGCGCCCGCCACTGTCACCATCCATCCGTTTAATAAGTTTTGTTATATGGGAAAATGGTAGTTGTACAAAGATTTTAAATAAAAAATTATTGTACGGCCGTTGATACAGGGCCCGACATATAATTGCTATCTGAAATATATATATTATTTAAAAAAGAATTATTTTTATGTATTTATTGCAAATGTGGACAGTACTTATTTATGTAATTAGTAGTTGGAAAATGAGGTTTGTATTATAATTAAAAAGATTAGGTATAATCTGGGTTCAAGTCACGAATATTGTGTTTATTTTCTTTAAAAGTGAATGCTATATAATAAAATGCATGTGCAGCATATGCCTCGCCACTCTGAATGCACACATCTCATGTGTTTAATCTATTAATATACAAAAGCGTTTTATGTTAGATTAATAGTAATTACACTATTAATATCGGTTGGTGTATGGCTGATAAAGTGGGAAAAGTGTCCATATTCATCAAAGGTACTTTGACATCGCAATTTGATTGGTTACGTAAAGGGATTTAGGTTTAATTAGCTTTATAACAACGAATCCTTAAAAATATTAAAAAGGGAAACAAATAAATAAAATATAATTGGATATCAGCCTATGGCCCTGCCCATGGAGAAATTTATAGAATGGTAATAAATATTTATTTTTAGCACAAGTAATAATCTAAAATATTAGTGAGGGGGGATTTCTTCTCACGCACACTATCTATTAAGATGTCATGAAGGTTTGAACTTTAAACCATTAGTCTACAAATCAATGTCCTTTTTCACTGAACAAATAGTATTATATGTATGGCATGTTGAGTTAGTCAGAAGGAAGGGGAAATGGAGTGTCCAAATCACTCCAAGTTTCAACAAACTGCCTTTAAATATCTAGAATTAGGCCAATTTTTGTTGACCTTTTGATGAGGTGCCATCTTTAGGGTAATTGTACTCAATTGGTTATTGGATTTTGATGCTTATTGTTTTATTTGTTTGCTAAAGAAGATGATGCTTATTACTTGAGAAGTTCACAAATAAGACTTTCATCTAACTTCCCTTGAAAGTTACAATTATAGTGGGAAATTCATGAATTATGTGAATTACCAAAACAATATCAATTTAATAAGTTTGTTTTTATTAATTCATGTAAAACACGATAATTTTTAAATATTGTGAATATGCGTGTGTATTTATTGGTATGCCAATTAAGATATATATTTTTAGATAGTTGTTTAAGCTTAAACTAGGGATAAGCCTCCTGCCTGCAAACAGGTATTAGCTAACAATCGATAGAGACATTTTGTTTTATACCATATGTCTGGTTATGTCAACTAGTGGAAATTTGAATATGGGTTCATCCTTTTTTACGTGGGTGATTTTTAATCGTTCATATAACACATAATTAGAGGAAAGCGAAAAAAGTAATTTATATGAGATTTGGAAAGCGAAAGTAAAGTAGAACGAGGCCTCAATCTGTACCATTACTGTTAACAGTATGCACCGAGGTATATGGAAATACAAAAACTTGAAATGAAATTAAATGCAGTCTTTAGAAAAGAAAGCGATACCGAATTTAATGTTGAATTGTGTACATGCCTAGCAAAAGCCAATCGGTGTTTCACCTTTTGAGACGTAGACAACCCTTGGATAAAGTACGTACAAACAAGGGGTGGAAAATGAACCTGCACTGAATATACAACATGTGTGATTTGAATATTTGAATATTTGAGCTATAAATTTCCAATTTAATAAAAGCCACATGGAATGTGTATCAATTGTGTGTCTAAAATATCAATATGCATGGATCTAAAAGTAAAAGCCACTGTGTGACGTATGTGTAGGCCTGCACTGCCCATTCCCCTTGGGATTTCTGAATCTTCTAATACGAGAGCAACATCTGTCGTGTATGCACCAGTGTTATTTAATTATAAATTTGCAATTTAACTGGTGATTTATTTAATTATGTTTGCAGTTTCCACATACACTCAACACACTCTCTCTCTCTCTCTCTCTCTCTCAAGTCGCCAGCAAGGCAACAACAGAAATCCTTTTTCGGTTTACTTTTGGAAATATAGATTTTATACCTGTGTATGTGTTGGTAAATAATTCTTTATGGTAACAAATACTCCAAAGCAATCTCAAATCACTAATGAGTTGGGCATTAATGTTTGGTCACTATTCTGGGTAAAAAAAATCTCAAAACACAATCTACAACTTGATAATATGTTCCCTTTAAACAACTGGATATAAAATGCCACTATTTTTTGGACCACAAAAACATTCATTGATCTTAGTACCAATGTTCCCTGTAATGTATATAATTGGGGTATTGGCTACTACTTTGTACTTCCTTAAATACATATAATTTATAGCAACCTGTCCCTCTATATCATTTCATTTGTGAACTTTGGTTTTGTTACCTCAGTAATTTACATATTTGTTGTTGAATTATCGAAAAGAAAGGAGACACTGTCTTAATCAATTAACCTAATTTATACGTGTCATCGAAGTTTTTATAGTTGCTTTTCTTTTGAAAAAAATAATATACGTATACGTTATCTAATTTTGAGGCTCATTGAATTAGGACGGACGCAGAACAGCACATTCAATCGGGTGAGCTTAGCCAAGGAAGCCCACAACCAGGAGGGATTTGATTTGATTTGATTTGACCCTTTCTAACCAAGTCAATATAGCCAACTGAGAAATTAACAACCCCAGGTCTCCACCGCCCCAGTTAAAGCGAGTGAGTCACCACTGGTGCTAAACCATTAATTTTAATTAGTTATTTAATTAATGAAAATCAATTATTTAACCAAAACCCCAAATCACCAACTATTGGAAATTTTTTCAAGAAGAATCACGCCAAATGACAACCGTTTACTTTTCAAATGCGAAAAGGTTGCAAAGGGCCACTCTGTAAATAACCTCCAAACCAAGGCCTTATTCCCCACCCCCTCGCAGTTTAAATACCACAACACAACACACATACCAGCCCACATAACCACACGAGTGAGACCGACACCACCCGCCACAGACTGAGTTGCCGGCGAGTTCTACCCGTCTAACTCAGTTACCCTCTTCCCTATACAAATTACTCAAGAGTCTCCAACTCACTCTTCTTCTGAACCCATAAGGGGCAGCGCAATGGGTTCGGAGCTCATCTTCAGAGGGCACGAGGCCCAACACGTGGCGGACACCTACTCGCCGAAACCGCAAAAGCCATGGGCCTCTGTGACCCGCCCGATTGGGTACTTGCTCCGAGAGCAGCGCCTCGTCTTCGTCCTCGTCGGCATTGCTATAGCCACCGTCGGGTTCACGCTCCTCCCGTCCTCTCGCTCTCCGTATGTTAACGGCAACGTCCCGATCTCGAACGAGTATGTTAGGTACGACTTCGATTCGTCGACCCATTTGACGCACAAGCCCGCTTACGAGCGCCGGTTCGGGTTGACGAACTGGAATTCTGGTGGGAAGGTGCCGCTGGGGCTGAAGAGAAAGGGGCTCCGGATCGTGGTGACGGGTGGGGCCGGATTTGTCGGGTCGCACCTTGTGGACCGTCTGATAGAGCGAGGGGACAGCGTGATCGTTGTGGACAATTTCTTCACCGGCAGGAAAGAGAACGTAATGCACCATTTCGGGAACCCCAGGTTCGAGCTCATCCGACACGACGTCGTTGAGCCTCTTCTCCTCGAAGTCGACCAGATCTACCATCTCGCTTGCCCTGCCTCCCCTGTCCATTACAAGTTCAACCCCGTCAAGACTATTATATCCTTTTCTACTTCCATTTTTCTAATTTTATTTCTTTATAAAGTTTTTTTCTTCTTATTAATTTCAATTATAATTATTTGGAGGCCTTAATTTTTAATTTTGGAGCTGCACAAAACCAATGTGGTGGGGACTCTGAACATGCTGGGTCTAGCGAAGAGGATAGGAGCGCGGTTCTTGCTAACCAGCACCAGTGAGGTGTACGGTGATCCTCTGCAGCACCCGCAGGTTGAAACCTACTGGGGCAACGTTAATCCAATCGGTGAGTGACAGAGTATCTCTCTCTGTTTTCCTTTTTTAGATTCCATTATTAGCGGTTTCGGTTCTATTTGTCGTTACGGTGCACGTTAGTGGCGAGGTATATTAGTGTAACTTGCGCGGGACAGGTGCGGAGGCTATATCTCTGATTTGAAACCCAGGTCGGGGGTGTTCCCTGTAATGTATATAATTGGGGTATTGGCTACTACTTTGTACTTCCTTAAATACATATAATTTATAGCAACCTGTCCCTCTATATCATTTCATTTGTGAACTTTGGTTTTGTTACCTCAGTAATTTACTGTTGTCTTACATATTTGTTGTTGAATTATTGAAAAGAAAGGAGACACTGTCTTAATCAATTAACCTAATTTATACGTGTCATCGAAGTTTTTATAGTTGCTTTTCTTTTGAAAAAAATAATATACGTATACGTTATCTAATTTTGAGGCTCATTGAATTAGGACGGACGCAGAACAGCACATTCAATCGGGTGAGCTTAGCCAAGGAAGCCCACAACCAGGAGGGATTTGATTTGATTTGATTTGACCCTTTCTAACCAAGTCAATATAGCCAACTGAGAAATTAACAACCCCAGGTCTCCACCGCCCCAGTTAAAGCGAGTGAGTCACCACTGGTGCTAAACCATTAATTTTAATTAGTTATTTAATTAATGAAAATCAATTATTTAACCAAAACCCCAAATCACCAACTATTGGAAATTTTTTCAAGAAGAATCACGCCAAATGACAACCGTTTACTTTTCAAATGCGAAAAGGTTGCAAAGGGCCACTCTGTAAATAACCTCCAAACCAAGGCCTTATTCCCCACCCCCTCGCAGTTTAAATACCACAACACAACACACATACCAGCCCACATAACCACACGAGTGAGACCGACACCACCCGCCACAGACTGAGTTGCCGGCGAGTTCTACCCGTCTAACTCAGTTACCCTCTTCCCTATACAAATTACTCAAGAGTCTCCAACTCACTCTTCTTCTGAACCCATAAGGGGCAGCGCAATGGGTTCGGAGCTCATCTTCAGAGGGCACGAGGCCCAACACGTGGCGGACACCTACTCGCCGAAACCGCAAAAGCCATGGGCCTCTGTGACCCGCCCGATTGGGTACTTGCTCCGAGAGCAGCGCCTCGTCTTCGTCCTCGTCGGCATTGCTATAGCCACCGTCGGGTTCACGCTCCTCCCGTCCTCTCGCTCTCCGTATGTTAACGGCAACGTCCCGATCTCGAACGAGTATGTTAGGTACGACTTCGATTCGTCGACCCATTTGACGCACAAGCCCGCTTACGAGCGCCGGTTCGGGTTGACGAACTGGAATTCTGGTGGGAAGGTGCCGCTGGGGCTGAAGAGAAAGGGGCTCCGGATCGTGGTGACGGGTGGGGCCGGATTTGTCGGGTCGCACCTTGTGGACCGTCTGATAGAGCGAGGGGACAGCGTGATCGTTGTGGACAATTTCTTCACCGGCAGGAAAGAGAACGTAATGCACCATTTCGGGAACCCCAGGTTCGAGCTCATCCGACACGACGTCGTTGAGCCTCTTCTCCTCGAAGTCGACCAGATCTACCATCTCGCTTGCCCTGCCTCCCCTGTCCATTACAAGTTCAACCCCGTCAAGACTATTATATCCTTTTCTACTTCCATTTTTCTAATTTTATTTCTTTATAAAGTTTTTTTCTTCTTATTAATTTCAATTATAATTATTTGGAGGCCTTAATTTTTAATTTTGGAGCTGCACAAAACCAATGTGGTGGGGACTCTGAACATGCTGGGTCTAGCGAAGAGGATAGGAGCGCGGTTCTTGCTAACCAGCACCAGTGAGGTGTACGGTGATCCTCTGCAGCACCCGCAGGTTGAAACCTACTGGGGCAACGTTAATCCAATCGGTGAGTGACAGAGTATCTCTCTCTGTTTTCCTTTTTTAGATTCCATTATTAGCGGTTTCGGTTCTATTTGTCGTTACGGTGCACGTTAGTGGCGAGGTATATTAGTGTAACTTGCGCGGGACAGGTGCGGAGGCTATATCTCTGATTTGAAACCCAGGTCGGGGGGGTTGTCTTTTTCTTGAAGTTGAAGGAGTCGATGCTAATTGACAGCACGTTCGCCATGGTGGGTGGATGGGACCCACGTGGCCAATGTTCCTGGATCCGGTCGAATTTCTACGGTGAACGAGAAACCCGTGATTTGCGGGTCCACTCATCCGACGGTGGCGATTTTGTGTATTCCCCGCACCGCCATGACCGTAATGTAGGGTGTGTCGTGTTAGGACGGTAAAAATAGAAATTGGATAGGGGCAATTTTGTAATGTCCATAGGCGTCTTTTGGTTTAGGGTAGGTGCAGATCTCGCAGACTCCAGAAGTATTGGTCCGTTACCTGACAAAATTCGTTGGCTGTCTGAATGGGTGACAGGTGTCCGAAGTTGTTACGACGAGGGAAAACGTACGGCCGAGACATTGACCATGGACTACCACAGAGGAGCCGGAGTCGAGGTACCGTTTCTGAATGCAAATTTAATTATTTTTGTTCTTTTACAACCCAAAATTAATTAACTTAATCACATATTTTTTCAATAATTAGTGAGAAATAAAAATGAGAAAGGCCAGTCCTCTCAGTAATGTGCCAGGTGAACCCAATTTGAGGAGTAATGGGGTCAATAATTACAAATTATATTTTGTTTAATCCCTAATGATTTAGTTTGTAATTTGATTGGCTGTTGTTGTTGCAGGTTAGGATTGCTAGGATTTTCAACACTTATGGGCCAAGAATGTGCATAGATGACGGCCGTGTTGTTAGTAACTTTGTTGCCCAGGTAAAAAAAATTGTTTATATTTTGTATTTTTATATGTCATTGAAAGGATGAGCTGTTTATTTGAGTGGTAATTGGGATGATGCAGGCGTTGAGGAAAGAGCCTATGACTGTTTATGGAGATGGGAAGCAGACAAGGAGTTTCCAATACGTTTCTGATCTGGTAAACGCTTCTACTTTAGTTCCCTTATTATTTTAATAAGCGGGTACTGTTTTCGCTTGCTTTGTTGCGTTGCGTGCTGCTTAGCTAGCTAATTGTTTTACTTTAAGTATTCCAAACTGCTTCTTTTTACGGTTTTTAGTATCGAGCCATGTGAAATTAAATTTTGTAATGCAAGATTAGAGAGAGTGAGATTGAGATGGGCAGTTGTTAGTGAACTGGTGACAAACTTGAAAAAAAAGAGAGCAGGGTTTTTATTTCTTTTTAATGAACTGGTTGAGTTTGATTAATCTCTTTCCCATGTGCATGGCACAAAGCAATTGCATATGCTGCGCACTTTAGCTATTGTGCATAAATTGCTGCCAAGTAAAATTTCTGATCTATGCAGTTTAGTCGATGTTGTGCGTTGTATTGTGGTCAACTTCTTCCTTTCTGTCTTTTAAAAGTAGGATCCTCATTTGCTGGTGCTGAAAGATATTAAGATTTTGCCGTTTTGTGCATGGCAATAGGTGGAAGGTCTAATGCGCCTGATGGAAGGTGAACATGTCGGACCATTCAATCTCGGGAATCCGGGTGAATTCACCATGCTTGAACTTGCAAAGGTAATTGACATGATGAGATGGAATCCCTAATCAAATGTTGCAGTTTAATTTTTTTTACTTATTGTTTCTTGTGATGTTGGTGCATGCAGGTGGTTCAAGAAACAATCGACCCAGACGCAAAGATAGAGTACAGGCCCAACACAGAGGATGACCCCCACAAGAGGAAGCCTGATATCACAAAGGCTAAAGACTTACTTGGTTGGCAACCAAAGGTGTCCCTGCAAAAGGGTCTCCCTCTCATGGTCTCTGACTTCAGGAAGCGCATCTTTGGTGACCACAAGGAAGCTGGCTCTACCGCCACCACCACCACTACCATGTAATAATCCTTCCTTCCTCTGTTAATGTAGGCATGGCCATTGGCATATATACTTCATTTCTCACTCAGCAAACTGGCAATGGGAAAGCCAATTCCTTTCTTTCTTTCCCCTCTCCAATTTCCAAACGAAATACAACAGCAGGGTCACAGCCGCAGTAGCAACAGCAACAGCAACAGTAGCATATAAGAAGTTCTGGCACTTGTTTTATGTCCATCCTTGTTCTTTATGTGTTGTTATCCTCTTAAAGCTTAATAGACAGCGAGCTTCTCTTTCCGATCGGTCTTCCTATTCTTTCTTGTTATGCGAACGGTGTCCATTAGAGACAGTGTTAATTAGATTACATGATATTACTTGTTTGTATTGTGAGGAGCTTCTCCAATCACTGATCCATTGGTAATGATATATGTTGATATGAAGCAACTACTCTTCTTTGGAAAAAGAAAAATCCCAAATTCTGAGATGTTACAAGACAGGAATGCGGATTTTGAATAACAGATTCTACAGGTTCTAAAATACAGATAATCTGAATTCTGAAATGTCGAAACAATAATTTTGAGAGTGATGGATAAAAGTTTTGCACTAAAGATGTCACAAGCAGCTGATATGAAGCTGCATTTTCTATGAGCTGAAATTTTGTGTATGTATTCGATTACCTGAGAGAGATACTCAGGGATGTGAGTGAGCCTAAAGACTACGTGTGAAAAAAAGGGAGATTAAATCTCAATAGCACAAGCAAGTGCAACTGTAATGCTGAAAAGAACGTTAAAAATGATACCTTCTTCTTTTCCTCTTTCTCAAAAGGAAGTAAAGCCTTGAAGACTTGAAAATGTGTTCATGGTGATACATTCACACTAGGGCAAGTAAGCTTGACCTACCTCCGGTAAAGGATTGCTATGATTCCGTAGGAGCACTCTGCATCTATCTGACTGGTTAGATGCAGTTTCCAGGATTGTCAACCACAAAGGCATCCTCATTGTGACTTTTCTTGATAATTACCTAAGCCATTTACAAGTGTGTCACTAATTAGAAGGATTGGAAAATGACATCAAATTTTACTTGTTAGAGAAGGGAAGGTTAAATACCATACCGAATATGGCTGCACGGCTATACCATTTCTCTTTAAAACAAATTAGAAAAAACCGAGTATAGCCCCATGGATATACTATTTATTTGGAAAAAAAAATAGATAAAACAGAGTATAGTATTTCTTTAAATTTGTTTTTTGAAAAAACTGAGTGTAGTGTTACGGCTATTCTATTTCTTTAAAAAAAAAATTTAAAAATGCAGAGTATCGTCACGCGGCTATACTATTTATTTTAAAGAAACCGAGGATAGCCTCACGGCTATACTATTTCTTTTAAGAAAAATTAAAAAAGGAGTATAGCCGCCCGGCTATACTGTTTCTGTTAAAAAATTAGCAAAACCGAGTATAGTCGCACGGCTAAACTATTTCTTAAAAAATAAAAAAACGTGTATAGCCGAGCGGCTATACGATTTCTTTAAAAAAAGTTTTTAAAAATGCCAAGTATAGCCGGTCGGCTATACTATCTTTTTTCAAAAAAATGAAGAATACCGATTACAGCCGAGCGGCTATACGATTTAAAGATACCGAGTATGGGCGCGCGGCCACACCATTTCTTTGAAAAAAAATTAGATAAAACGGAGTATAGGCGCGCGGCCATACGATTTCTTTCAAAAAAATAAGAAAAAACCTAGTATAGCCGCGCGGCTATACGATTTCTGTAAACCAGATTCTCTAATTCTCAGTTCCATTAGCAAATGCCATGACTTTGAGCTTAGAGCCTTAAGTTTAGAGCCTTCATTAATTGTATACTTGCACACTAGCACTAAGGAAAGGGATGGCCTTATTTTTGAACAAGCTAGCTTCTCTGGTGCCCGCTCTCCATGCTGTCGACGTTGACCTCCCTCTTGAGATTTTGCGCAAGGATGAGAACAAGCTTGAACAGGTTCTTTTGGGTAGAGAGTTCCATATAAGTCTGGGAAGAACTGTACCCGAGATTTCGCTATATTCAGATAGTCCAAACAAAGTTGTTGACATGCAAACAATACAAACATGACAATCAGATATATTAAAAGCTACAGTAAAACCTAAAACTAAAATTCAGAAATATAGGACATTGTTATACCAGTTCCAACGCAATATTTTCATGTTTTATGCTCCTGCTGTTTTACATTGTTGATTTAAACTCTTTTCACCATCTTAGGATTGACTGCACATCAAAACATGGAAGCCAGAGGTTTTCAGGGAAGGCAAGCCACCATCTTTAGAGGTAGCAGAGACCACTCTGTTGCCATTGGGGCTTGTGATGGCAAGTGACTCACAAAGCCGCGGATTGGATTTGTTCAAGTGAAATGTGATTTAGATTGGATTTGTTCTTTCAATTAGACCATTATCTCCCCTTTCAAGTTCCAGACGGACCAATCTCTGTAATTTGATCTGACCCTTACATTGATAAAGCATATTAGACAGCTGAATTATAATAGAGGTTTATCAATAAAGGGCAAGGAAGGATTTATTCCACTGCCTCCTCTTAGCGAGAGCGATACATTTCTCATCCAGACGAAAACTGAAGAGCATTCATTTATTCAAGTGACTAGCACATCAGTTGCCATGCACATTCAACATTGGCTGGTCTACATTGCCGAGTGATGCTGCAATCTGCGTCCCTTCAACCCACAGAAATATCTCCTGTGCGACTGTGTTCGCACAGGCTGAGGCGACTGCTGCTGCTGATGCTGCTTGTTTATTGTTTGGGGTGGTGAGGCTGTGGTGTTCATCTTGAGAATGGCATTCCTATATGTGTGAATTGGTTGCACAACGACGGAATTGTCATCACTAGTGTGCTTCTCAAGCCAAGTTATGATGTCTGCAAAGACAATTTCGACGTTCCCATCGGGCTCTCCTGATGTCAGGCCATGCCACATTCCAGGGTACAATTTGATGGTCTTGTCTGCGCTGCTGGCTTTCTCATACAGTGCTCTGCTGACTTCTGGGTCTGTAACCGTATCTGCCTCCCCATGCAACACAAAGAAGGGTAGCCTCACCTGCTATGCTAGTCTACAATTGTTAGTAACTAATTATATATATATATATATGTTGAATCAAATGGAAGTGGAAGCAGCATCAAACCACCTCATGCAAAGTGTGTTCAAGGCTCATGCTAGTTCTGAGCATTTCCAACGCTGTTTTCAGCCTTGGCTTGTCTTGGTAGATCAGCTTGTTGCTCCTTATCTGAAATTTGAACCCATTCATTCTCTTAATTGTCACCAAATAAAATGAAAATAGTGTTTATTTAATTGTCTTTGTCACCTCTTCGCGTTTTACAGGATCTTTGAAGGCCGAGTCAATGACGTCTTTTGTAGGCACTATCTTCCATTTGGGTATAATCTCCTCCACTCTGGTCAACACATTGATAACCAGCGGATGCGGTTTGACCTTCTCTGATATCTTAATTAACAATATTGGAATGGATAAAACGATCAGTTTTGATTTGGTAAACCAACGCTTCACCAAACAAACCAAATTAAAAACTTAACACGCAAATCAAATCACCACCTTACACATGGGTGCAACAAGAACAGCACCATTCCAAAAGGTCGGCTCCTTCTTGTGAAGCAGAAGGGCTACTGCCCCTCCCATGGATTCTCCATACAAGAACCTGCACTTGTCCCTGTACTCTTCCTCCGCTGGAACACCATTTTAGTGCAAAGTTTAATTAAAATCACAGGGTAGAGGGTACCCAAGAACCAAGATTGGGATTAGTTTTTAAATGGGAGGATTGGATTGGATTAAACATACCACAAATGGACTTGAAGAATTCATTGCAATCATTCACTATGTTTTCAAACTTCTTAATGTAACATCTGGCCCCTCTCGAGCGTCCATGTCCTTCGTAATCAATTCCGAACACTGCATACCCCGCATTCGCTAGGCGGACACCACATTCTATTTTTATTTATTTATCAAAGAATAACTTCATTAGATAACCTTCAACACGTAGGTATTAAAAAGAACAAATTGGTATTTGCCTCTTCAATATCATATGTCTGCCAGTTGCATTAAGTATTTGCCTGGATCAGTATAATGTTTCTAACAACAGCAGTCCTTTTGGCATTATCACAGTGGGCCAGCAAAAGACCCTACAGCCCAAAATTTGTTTGCCAACCTAACCAAACCAACCCAGTTGACCACCCAATTTCGTTTTCAGTATAGGATCTTCATGTAGGGTTGTTGGATGATAATTGCTGGATGGAGGAGTAAATAATCATGCCGAAAAAGAAGAGAATTTTCAAATATGCAGAGAAACATTGTTTGGAAAGTCTTCATCTTGCAGAGCTCATTTATTATCACCAATCAATCACTACGGCCTAAATTGAATTATAAGGATCCAAAAAGAAAAGAAAAAAAGGAGGTCAACGATTTGGACAATTACTGAGATAAGTCTTAATTGCTTATAAAATTATGGATTGGAGAAGGACACTGATGTACTGACTCTAAGAGCCAATTTTAGAGAGAGATTAGAGGCAGTGAGAAAAAAGAGCCATGTGTTTGTGTTGTGTGTGTGCATGCCTCCTCCTCCAACCAAGTTGAAGATGATGTGTTGCACCAAAATAATTGAGCATTGAACCAGAAAGATAGGACAAATGATAGTCTTGTCAGCACTCGGCTCTGCAGTAGACACTGGGAATAATACGAATGGGATTATATAAAGGATTGGATGGGATTGGATGAAACTGGAACAGCCTTGAAAAAAGCCTTTGTACTTGTCTGATTATTTGCAATATAATTAAAATTTAGCATACAGACACAGCGGACAGAGGTGTGCCATACGGTTGTTTGTCAAAGATTTAAGCTTATCCTGGACAAGTCATCCGCTTTGTTTGTTTTCAATGTATCTATCCTCTCCCAATTCCCAAAAGATGACCGCCTAAAAGTATGCCTATCTGAGAGGCGAAATAGTAGTGATCCAGTAAAAAAATGGCAAACACTCTGTGGCCCTATGAGTGGATTTTGCGTAATTTGACGAGGTTTCCTTGGATATATATGTATGCATGTATGCATGTATATGAAGAGAAAAGATAAGGAATTTTGCAAGTTTTATGCTTTCTGTAGAATAAAAATGTCCTTCAATTTCAATGAATTAGCATTCCCAATATATCCCACTAGATTTGCTTTACTTGCAGAAAAGTAAAAGGCAAAGGGAAGAAGAAGAGGAAAAGTTGGCTAAAAGTTTCTTTCAGCCTCTGTTTTTCATGATGACAATCTCTATCTATGTATCTGTACACGATCAAATCATCAAGTGTAGTAAATTACTATTATTACCAACCCCTTTTGATATATTGAAATTTCTTTTCGGTTTGTAAGTTGTGAAAGAATACTGTCTTATTTTTCTTTTACTACCCTTTATATATATTTATATATTTTTATAGATGAAGAGAAGCAATGGAAAGTTGAGAAAATATAATTGAAAGAAAGAAGAGGAGGAACGAACAAGAGTCATTTAAGCATATTTATTACCTCTCATGAAACCGCTGCACTCCATGCCATACCCTGCAACACCATTAATGAATACCACCAATTAATTACATATATGCCCCATCTCATCAGACAGGGAGAGAGAGAGAGAGAGAGAGGGAAGGAGAGAGAGAGTACCATGGCAAAGGAAAACGAGGGCTTTTGGAGAGGAAAAAGGCAACCATCTGCAAGTGAAAAGCTGCACTCCTCTTGAATTCCTTATGTAAACCTTCTCTCATTCAACAAATAAATAACCACCCCCCATCAGAGAAGAAACTATATATATATATATATATATATGTCAACATTGTCTAATATAACCAAACACATACATACATACACCCTATATGTATCTTGAAGAAAAGAAAACGACTAAGATACTTACTTCTTGATATTCACCATCCATGTTCACCACGCGAGAGCAAAAGAAAAGAACACGACTAAGATATCAGATCCATGATAACTCCATGTTTGAATAGTATATCCTAACTCTGGATCTGTGAGTCGATGCCTCAAACACAATAATAACTTGGGAAAGAGATGGGTGATGAATGTTAATGTTGTTCTATATAACTTAAAAGAGAGAGATTCTGAAAAAATATGGGGAAAAGGAAAGTAGAAGCTCTGGAAAAGAAAGATGATGAGAGAGAGAGAGAGAAATATGGGGAAAAGGAAAGTAGAAGCTCTGAAAAAGAAAGATGATGAGAGAGAGAGAGACAGACGGTGGTAGTAGGTGTTTATCTGGATTGTGTTTTCTTTCCTCACCCCAACGTCTATAAGGTTCTTGTTATATATAGTAAATAGATGCCTTCGAGTGTTATAATATGTGATGTGCTTCATGCGCATAGAGGATGTTTTTGTTTTGGGGTCAAAGAGCAGAGGACCACTTGTTCCTTTCAAAGTTTTCCTACTCGTAAAGCTATTGTTTTCCTTCATCATCTTTGCTACTAAAAAGTGAATACACACCTGAGCTTTGGCTAGAGCATATGTGCTTCTTGCTTTGCAACCGAGTTCCAATTCTCCTCTCCGTAATTTAAATTAGTTTAAATTAAAATATTACTTGTATAAAAAAAAAATGAATACAAATTAGTCATATCGTTTACATAGCCACAAAAAAAAAAGAAAAAAAAAAGGAAAATATTCATATCGTTTATAATATTGTAAGATGCAATCATACAAACTTTTTGTATATTTTCCACGATTATTAGAAAGTTTTGACGTTTATTTAGAGTGCGACATGACCAGTAAAGTAGACAGGAGTTGCATAAACATGATACGTAACCAATTATTGAAAAGAAAGGAAAAGAAAAGAGAAAACCTCGAAATGGGAATGTATGGTTGTAACACCAATATAAGGCACCATCTTTTGTGCTTTGATAGCTCTATTTATTTTGTCACCAACCAAGCACCAAACACCAAACATTTTAAAGTCATTTCATACAGTTGCTCTGTACCGAGTTAATATGCATCTACCGTTTCAACTTTTCAAGGCTACATTATTTAATTTTTCACCTTCCGAATATATTTTCTAACTTACTTACCAATCACACCCTCACTATAGAATTTCGTCGTCTTTAGTATTCAAAGAATGGATCCAAAATGTTCCAACCCAACCCAACCCAAAATTTAAATGGATTGGGAAGAACATAGCTCACTCACGCCTCATCAAATTTTGCAACTGTCGAGCCCGTTCCAGCTAACAAACGTACATGAACTGAATTTACTTAGACGACCCGATTGGATTGGAAACCAATTCAAGATCCGAATTCATTTCAATCTTACGATTATCTTTCCATAAAAACTTGGAAGTTGAACCGACATTTCTGATTAACAAATCCCACAAATCCACACCAAAAATAGCATTGCAAATTCTTGAGCTTTCACCTAAATACTTGACCTCGTATATATTCAAGCGGAGACTCAGAGACGTTTCCTCATCAAAATGTGACACACACGTTTTAAGAAAATAAAGGCATTTAGGTTAGCAGGTAGAAAGATAGTCACTTACCCCCACAATGTTTTCTTAATTCTTTTTTTTCTATTTTTTATGTTTCCCACACATCTAGTTATTGCGTAGGAACATCCATCCATTGGTTCCTAACTACCAAAGTTATAATTTATATCAACCTCTTCGTGCAGCAAGAATGTTATTGAAGTCAACTTAAACAAAATCAACAAGGGCGAACGCATTGTCATTGTCCACTTCTTAGTTTTGAGATGGTATGTAACCTACTGCCTATGCAGAGTAGATGCTGTCACTTTCATGCAATCACAAATAAACGGAGATTTTGCTACACTTGAATTTGACTAGTCGAAAACAGAAATTTTGCCTGTACTTCTTTCCTTTTCTTTTTTTTTTGTTTTTGTCTTTCTGTTTTCTGAGAAGCAGGGTATCATCATCTACAATGCTCACCTGGTTTAGTTTCACCCAGAATTCAAAGGATGAAGGGCGTATCAATTGAAGGGCTTTCATCCTTGGTCAAATATCTGTTGAAATGAGCATCAGCAACAAAAGGGAACCTTGTTATCTGCTCTAGTTATTTACACACAAAAAAAGAAAAAGAAAAGAAAATCATACAAAAGAATTGAACTGTCATACACCGGTCACTTGCTCCACAAACGCTAATCTACCGACATAACAGAATGTATTTCTTTGCTTAGTCAAAAATAACGACAGTGATACAGACAAATGGTTCAATAAGATGAGGGATCTAAGCAGGGGAAAAAATAGGTAAAACATGGAGGGAGCGAAGAGAACGACCTTCCTCTGCCACAGTTTTCCACCGAGAGGTTTTTCAAGTTGTTCTAGCATAGTCAGTGGCAACTTTGAAGGCAGAAACCAGACAAGCCATAGGAACCACCTGTGTCCAGCTTCGTGTCATAGCAGCAATGGCTCCCCCTGCGACTGCACCAGCAATCAGACCATTCACCTGCCAGAAGAGGGAAAAACCATTATCTTCTAGCAGGCCATCAAGCTTTTCAAAGTTGACTCATTAGACACCCAATGAAATACAAAATTAGGGGCAGTGTAGATCAACAAACTATCAAGTACAACCTTTCCAAATTCTAAACATAAAATGGCATCTTAGTGAAGCCAAGATCAAGCTGGCTGAGCTGGTTGGCTCTGGTGTTGCCTGCAAATTTGTGAGTGCAGCAGCAATAGTGTGTCGGGTCACAATATAGAACTGGATTGCAAGAGTTTTTAAGCAATGCAAGTTGGATTGTGTTGGGCAAATTACCATACAAGACTCCAAATTGGTTTGTTAGAATATCAGCAAGCACTTTGTATTAGGATGTTTGAAACTCACAAGTAGAAGATATGGAGAAAATAAAATGAAAAGCATATTTTCAGCAGAGCTTTATATATCAAAGAAGTATATACAAATTGAGTTCCTAAACATGGGTTTCTTTCCAGATATACAAGAGCCTCACTAACCCAATCACTCTTTCCCCGATATCTTTGAAGCCCACAGTGAGTAGCAGTACAGATTCCAGCAACAAGTCCTGTAATGTAAGCCAATTTTAAAAGTGTCAATTCAGCCAAATACGGCTCTCAGAAACTAAAAATCAGAAAACAAAAAAAGCAGGATATATTACATCTGAGTTTACCATATTGAAAGCCACACGAGCTAGCCGACCTCGCCTGCTCACGGTACCAATACAAAATGTATCACTCAAAAGTTTTAGTAAGAACCCTAGACAACTTTGTTGCTTATCTATGAAAGAATTTATACCACAAAAGCGGCCTGAGCTACCCCTCCTAGGCCTACATCACCGGCAAAGAAACACAAACTTACAAAATCAAAATCAATTCTACAAATTTTTGATGAAAATGAGGGAAAGTTTTGAACTTTACCTTGTTTACGAGCCTCGTGGGGAGCGGAACACAAACCCCAAATTGCACCAGCCTGAAATTTATGAGATTCAAAATTATTTATTTGAGCTGTAAAACGAGTTTCCAGATACATAGAATTACAATGTCTTATTCAGTTTCAGGGGATTGAATTACCGTTCCGATGCGGAGGATAGAATCAACGGCGACGGAAGAGCACGGGACGACGTCGTAGGGCTCTCCCTCCATCTCTCACCTCCGGTCCCCGATGCGCGCCGCGTTCGATAGACGTTGAAAGAGAAACGAGGGCCGAAACGACACCGTCGCCATACTTTTCTTAAAGAGGACTGGGCTGAGATAGGCAGGCCTACACGTATTATTTTACGCTGGGCCTTTGGGCCCGTACCAAAAAAATAAAATAAAAACCCCGCGAACCCAAAACCCTAGTCCCTTTTATTGTACTGAGAGCCTAACCCTAATCCCAGTAACAGACGCAGCTCACACACAGACGCAGAGAGAGAGAGAGAGAGAGGGAGAGAGAGAAGCGAAGATGAGTCGTGGGGCGGCAGCTGGGACGAAGGGGAAGAAGAAGGGGGCTTCCTTTGTGATAGACTGCGCGAAGCCAGTGGAGGATAAGATCATGGACATCGCCTCACTGGAAAAGTTCCTCCAGGAGCGCATCAAGGTCGGCGGCAAGGCCGGTGCTCTCGGTGACACCGTCACCGTCTCTCGTGAGAAGAACAAGATCACCGTCACCTCTGACTCCAACTTCTCTAAGAGGTACTCACACTTTGGATTATGTTTATTTGCAAATACCATTTTGCAGATCTGAATTATAACTAGAACCCAGTGGTTTAAAACTCATTTTATGAAAAAGTAGTTATTATTTTTGGTTTTTTTGTTGTGCCCTAAAATGGCCTTTGTTTTTCTGTTGTAGCAAATGTTTGCTTTGTTCTGTAATGGGAACTATAAGCTTTGGTGTACGACTAATTTCTTGATTACTGCATTTCCATGAATATAAATAGCAGCTCAGCGTAAAATATGTGGAATTCTTGTATCTTGATTATTACATTTCCATGGATATGGTATTGCTGATGTTAGTCTGGTTATCTTTTGTTTATATCATGCTTTGTGTATAAGCTTCATATCACTTCATATGTATAAATGCTAGCACAGGACTCATTTGTTTCTGTTGTTGTGAATCTTTGATGTTGGGTGCATTTTGCAGAATATTCAATGGTTTATTTTCTTTGTAACTTGATTTTAGCTTTACTGTTCCATTATATTTTGGATTATTCCATTTCTATGAATATAACTTTCAGTTCAACATAAAATGCTTGAAATCCTTATATCATGATTAGTTATGGTTTCAGTTAGACATAGGTACTCTTTTGTTGCTTTTTGAGTAGTAATCATGCTCTATTTTCTTTTATGTATAACCTTTATATCACTTGTTTCTCAGGTATCTTAAATACTTGACGAAGAAGTACTTGAAGAAGCACAATGTGAGGGATTGGCTTCGTGTAATTGCCTCCAACAAGGACCGCGGTGTTTATGAGTTGAGATACTTCAACATTGCTGAGAACGAGGGCGAGGAGGAAGACTGAAAACCTAGTCTCCTATTTTGTGGCATTACCCTTTGAGCTTAGTAGTTCTAGAGGACAATCTTTTGTTTTTCACCTGCTTATCTATCGACTTTTATTTTGGCTTGTTTCATGATTGATACCCACTATGAAATTAAGCTTCTTTTGAGTATTCGGTCTGAAATTTAGAATCTGGTTATCACATTGTCTATGTGGGTGGTACAATACATATTTTCATTCAGGTATTTGATTATGGTGGATTGATAATTTTTTGACGGTGTTTTTATATATATCACCTACCCTCGGCGGGAGTTCGTTCAAATGAGATGCAAAGAGAGCTATTTTTTGATTTGCACTAAATCAAATATATGTTTTTGGTAAAACCAAGAAGTTGGTTCAAAGCAACAAGAGCTTACAAGGCCCAGGAGAGAAGTGTACCAAACAAATAGAAAAAGCAAAGGTCGAGAAAAACCCAGACCAAACAAATAGAGAAAGCATAAAATTTAAAGTCAGTCCTTGATAACTAGGAGCCAGATTATAATATAAAATTTGCCGCACAGCGATGTAATATGCCCAAATGATGAACAATCGTTTGCTCGTCGGTCTGTCGAAAAGTTAGCTCTAAGCTAGTCCAAGCAATGGAATGCCAACTCCTTTAAAACGATTTGAACATCTTCCCGCCATGCAGCACCAGAAATGCAAATGCGAGCTTCTGCAAAGCTCATATCCTCCACGCACCCAACTCTCCATCTTTCCCATCCCACCCCCGAGTCTTTCGTCTGGAACACCCTTATCCGAGCCCATGTCCAAGCCGCAGTCCCAAACCCCTATTCCCCACTCTCCGTCTTCCTTCGCATGCGCTTACACGGAGTTGTACCCGACAACCGCACCTTCCCTTTTCTCCTTCAGTCTTTCGGTTCTCTTCCTTACCTCCAATCGGGAAAGCAGATCCATGCCCAAGTTTTTCTATTTGGATTCACGCACGACCCGTTTGTCCAAACATCTCTCATCCATATGTACTCGTCTTGTGGCAATTTGATGCTTGCTCGCCAAGTGTTTGATGGGATTTATGAACCTGATTTACCGTCTTGGAATTCAATTATGAATGCCTATTCGAAAGTGGGGTTGATAGGCAATGCGAGAGAGGTGTTCGATAAAATGCCACACAGAAATGTGATTTCTTGGAGTTGTATGATAAAGGGGTACGTCATGTGCGGTGGTTATAAGGAAGCACTTGCCCTGTTTCGTGAAATGCAAATGTTGGATGCGGATGGTGCGAGGCCTAATGAGTATACCATGTCAAGCGTACTTTTGGCTTGTGGCCGATTGGGTGCACTTGAGCATGGAAAATGGGTTCATGCTTATATCGACAAATCTGGGATGGAAATTGATGTTGTCTTAGGGACGGCATTGGTGGACATGTATGCCAAATGTGGAAGTATTGAGAAAGCAAAATGGGTTTTTGATAATATGGGCCCTAATAAGGATGTCATGGCCTGGAGTTCAATGATTTCAGGACTGGCCATGCATGGACATGCTACTGAATGCCTTGAATTGTTTTCTGAAATGGTAAAGTGTGGTGTGAGGCCTAATGCTGTGACATTTGTGGGTGTTCTTTGTGCTTGTGTGCATGGAGGTTTGGTGGGTGAAGGTAAGGAGTATTTTAGGAGAATGGACGAGGAGTTTGGTGTTAAGCCTTTAATCCAGCACTACGGTTGCATCGTTGACCTTTATGGAAGAGCTGGTCTTGTTAGGGAGGCATTGAAGGTGGTGCAGTCCATGCCAATGGAGCCTGATGTACTTATCTGGGGGGCTCTACTGAGTGGATCTAGGATGCAGAAGGACATCGAAACAAGTGAGATTGCACTGAAGAATCTAATTCAGTTGGATCCCACGAATAGCGGTGCATATGTGCTTTTATCAAATGTGTATGCAAAGATGGGTAGATGGAGCGAAGTAACGCGTGTGAGAGATCTCATGGAGGAAAGGGAGATCAAAAAGGTCCCTGGTTGTAGCTTGGTTGAGGTAGGAGGTGTTCTTCATGAGTTTTTCGTGGGCGACGATTCTCATCCAGAAAGTCGAGAAATATATATGATGCTAGATGAGATCATGAAGAGGTTGAAGATGAGAGGTTTTGTTGGAAATACAAGTGAGGTATTGCTTGAGCTGGATGAGGAAGGAAAGGAGTTGGCTTTGTCCTTTCATAGTGAGAAATTGGCAGTTGCCTTCTGCTTTTTGAAGACAAGTCCAGGCACCCCAATTCGAATTGTTAAAAACCTGAGGATATGTCGTGATTGTCATGATGCTATGAAGATGATTTCCAAAGAGTTTGATCGGGAAATTGTTATCAGAGATTGCAATCGGTTTCACCATTTTAGACAAGGACTGTGCTCTTGTAAAGACTATTGGTAGAAGGGTTATTATTCCTGGAATTTGGTTAAGTTGGTAAATTCATTAATTATAATTTATAATAATCATAATTAATATGTAAAGACTCTGTGCTCAGCTCAGCTCAGGGATACAAAAGAATGGCAGGTCTGATGTTGGTGCGATTGGAGCAGGCAGAATTATGTATGTTGGGCAAGGCGCTGCAAGCAGAAATTAATTATAGGACACAGCCAGCCACAAACAGTGTAGAATTATTATTGTAAATGTCACAATCATGCTGACTTCCCCAAAATAGCAATCACATATATTGCATAAAATATCTATCCCGTATCAATCCCAACTTCAAAATTGTCCTGTTCTTTCTTTCAGTATAATAATATTATTTGAGTTATGTAAGTAACGTTATTTTTTTTGGCGCAAGAAAATTAATTTTGCATATTTTTATTAAATTATTAAATTATTAAATATATGATAGAAGTATATACAAAAGATGAGATGTTTCGTGTCTCTAACATAATGTCATTGTGCAAGATGTTTGTAACTCAATTGAATTAAAGCAATTATGTATCCAAATTCGATGTCTTTCAATATTTAATAAAGAAAAATATAAGTATATTGTTGTCATTGTAATTTGTAACTAAAAGGGCAAAAAGAAACGTATAGCCGTCACTGTTCACCTGATTCTTGGCCTCTGTACTTTTCACCCTTTCTGGATTGTAATCATTTATTTATGCAACACAGTTCAGATGGTTAATAACAATTAGCAAAGTTAATCATTCAAGATGAGGAAAGGTTATGCCCCAAACCATGCACGTCTGCGTCCTGTTCACGCATCCCCCAACCCAACTCTCCACCGTTTTGAGAATTGAGAGATTGACACTCCCCGCCACACCCGTCCATTGCTTTGCTATCTGCTTTCTTTTGATTTGGATTCGCACGTCATCACTTGTGGCAGGAGCTTCGGCGGGCGTCGATTCCGGCGCCGGCAAGCTTCCTGCCTTCCCTTCCTACGTGAGCTCCTCAGGTTGTCCCTCCTTGCATCTCTGTTTTCTAATTTATTTCATCTTCTTCTTGTGAACCCATAAATGAGATCTAGCTGTATGTATGATTCAATAGTTGAAGGTTTGTATTTTGCGCCTTTCGGTGATGCCATGGATTTTTTTGGTTTTTCGGTTTTCTGGGATTTGCATTTTGAATGCAAAATCATAACTCCAAGACATACTCAATTGAGGGATTTTAAACATAGCCTTTGCATAAGCAATGTCATGGCATTGAGAGCTTGTTGTGTCAAAACAAAAACTCGCCAACATGTTGTTGAACATCTTCTTCTGTTGAAATGGAAAATTAAAAGCAATGTTGATTTGGGTATTAGGAGCTGAGTTGCTCACTTTGTCTGTCTTATCTTTGTTGCAGGTTAATCCTCTTTCATTTGGTCCTTCACTCAGTGACAGTATTAAGTCATGCATAATTGTAATCAATTTCTGATAACCAAATTTCTTCTCTGCATCAATCAGGTCTTGTTGCTTTAATTCACTGTAGTTTTTGGACTGCAAGCAATTTGAGCAAACCACACAAACCATGCCTGGAAATTTCAGTATAATGGGTCAAGAATTTTGTGAAAGCTACTTTATTTTTCAGGGTGAAACTGGCCTTGGGGTTGGTTTCCGGACTTTCTTATATTTTCTTGGTCTTGCTTACTGTTTCGTTGGGTTGTCTGCTATAACTGCGCGTTTTTTCCGATCAATGGAGAGTGTTGTGAGCCACACACGGAAGGTGGTAAAAATCAATCCTGACACTGGTGGTGAAATTATTATGTTTGAGAAAGTGTGGAACTTCACAGTTGCAGACATTAGCCTGCTGGCTTTTGGGACCAGCTTTCCTCAAATATCATTGGCTACTATTGATGCTATAAGAAACCTTGGGAACCTGTATGCTGGAGGTTTGTTTTACAAAACTTACTGAATTATTGATGTGACTTTGAGATTTTGGCTTCATGGTTTATTGTTCATCTTTTTCCCTGATTGATTGTATATCCTTTTCCGTGTCACATTATTTTATCATGCTACTGTCACTTTTACACACACACATTGAGATACACTGCAAGAAACATGAGTTTTGCGGTAGTATCAGTTCGAAACTTCATGTGTTCAATAGCCGTTAGTAGGTAGGATACTAGATGACCTGAGTGGAATAGAGTACTGTTGAGGGAAGTTCATGATTTGTTATTCTTCTCAAATATGACAGAGGTAAGGAGAAAAAGGAGAAGCACATTTCATCTGTTTCTGATGAGCATGATCTCCCAAAATCTATCTTGTGATTGGAGTCACTGGGAATGCACTGAAATGTTGATAATGATGATTACTCAACTGTGTGATTTGGTTTTATTCCATTTTGAATCTTTTTGCATGCTTCTGCAATGATTTCTCCGATTTTCTTTTCTTCACACATAGGTTTAGTTACAATTATTATCTTCTTTCATATATTTTAACACTCTGCTAGTCTTCTTAATTTATAGGTTTGGGTCCTGGAACACTAGTTGGTTCTGCTGCATTCGACCTTTTCCCCATCCATGCAGTATGTGTTGTAGTTCCTAGAGCTGGAGAGCTGAAAAAGATAGCTGATGTAGGAGTCTGGCTAGTTGAGCTCTTTTGGTCTTTTTGGGCCTATATTTGGTTATATATAATTTTAGAGGTAATCTGAAGGAATCACCCTATGCTAATCATCCTTTTTCTTTATTTTTATCTGTCAAAACATTTCAGGTTATGCCTGACACGCATTTAGAACTCTAGTGAAATGGTTTTACTTAACGCTGCAGGTGTGGACACCGAATGTGATTACAATATGGGAGGCCTTATTGACAGTACTGCAATATGGATTACTGCTGATGCATGCTTATGCTCAAGACAAGCGTTGGCCCTATTTTTCTCTTCCTTTGTATGTTTAAATTAATGTTTGAGATTTTTGTGGTCTTTCTCATTTTTCTAAACTAAAATTAATAACTGGTTTAACTTTCTCAGTATTTTGCCTTCATTTCTTTTTTCCATTTCCTAAGGCCACGAAGTGAGAGACCAGTGGATTGGGTGCCAGCTGAGGTTGGTGAAGATGAAAACAGGAACGTTGTTGACATTTTCTCAATTCATTCAGGAAGTGGTATAGGTACTTGTCTGAAATTCCTTGAAACGAAATAGTCACTCTCGGGCAAAAATAACTTTCTTTAGGGGCTTTTTACAATTGTTCTCAATATGGAAGTCTCACTTTGCAGGTCCAGTGTATGAAAACGTTCCTGGAACTGATGAAACTCCTGAATATTCCAATAAAGATTCGCCAGAGAAGATGAGTTTAGAAGACTATCATGTGTTTGCAATTTGGAGGCAACAATTTGTAGACGCAGTCAAGGTATTGTATTCTCTGTTGTATATGTTTAATAATCAAGATATGTGTAGTTTGTGTTTCCATTTTTGCTGGTTACGGTAATTTCCTTTTTCTGAAACAGTTAGAAAGCACAGAATCAAGAACACTGAACCTATATTTGCGACTAGCAAGAATTTCCTGGCAGTTACTTCTTGTCCCATGGAGACTACTATTTGCATTTGTGCCCCCTTATCATATTGCTCATGGCTGGATTGCCTTCATATGTTCCTTAGTTTTCATCAGTGGGATAGCTTACATTGTAACACAACTCACAGATCTCATAAGCTGTGTCACAGGTTTCTATGATTTTATGCGATAACTTACAGTTGATCAATATAATTTTGTCCATGATCTAGCTAGTTCTCTAAAACTTTGTCTTTCCCATACTTTCTTTTTTCAGGAATAAATCCTTATGTCATAGCATTTACTGCATTAGCAAGTGGAACTTCATGGCCAGATTTAGTTGCGAGTAAGATTGCTGCTGAACGTCAGATAACAGCTGATTCTGCCATCGCAAACATTACTTGCAGGTTTACTCTTAAAGGTCCATTTCAATTTTAGACTTTGTTAAGTTATTTTTCAAGGAATGAATACATTTAGTAGTAAGGAGGTCCGGATAAAGATTTCGAAGTTTGGTAAACATTCAAGTAAACTTTCATCCTTTAACAAATGAAATCCAGAAGATGAAACAAGAAAGATAAGAAAACAAAATTGGATTCAAAGGCCTCACTTGAATTTCAATTTTGTTAAATTTGTTCAGCCATGTCATGAACTCAACTTGCTTTCCTGTTTGTTGATGTCATTTTGCAGCAATTCGGTGAATATATATGTTGGCATTGGCGTTCCGTGGCTGATTGACACTGCATACAATTTCTTTGTATATAAAGAACCACTGCGGATTGAAAATGCAGCGGGTCTTAGCTTCTCTTTGCTTGTATTTTTCTCAACTTCAGTAGGTTGTATTGCTGTTCTGGTAATTAGGCGTCTAACATTGGGTGCTGAGCTTGGAGGGCCAAGGCTTTGGGCTTGGATTACCTTTGTGTTTTTCATGTTGCTTTGGCTTATTTTTGTTGTGCTGTCTTCTCTCAAGGTTTCTGGCATCATATGAGAAATATTTTGAAAAAGAAATTCTTTTGCTCGGCATGATTTTGGTTTGTTCCCTTGCCGTAATTAACTAGTATGATTGACTGTACGGAGTATATTCCATTGTAACATTGATGTATACTATGCACAAAAATTTCTGATTATGTGTAGCTCATCTGAAGGCATTGGCTTATTATGCACTCTAGCCTTTTCTATCAAATAAGGGTATTGGTTTATTATCTACATAAATTTAGAAGGGTGTATTCAATTTAGATTTTAAATGATTTTAAAAGAGTTATAAAGTTGATGGATTTTAATTGAATTTAATTGAGTTTGACTGAATTCTACAAACTCCACATAGATTTTGATTGAATTAATGTATAGACTTTAATTGAGTTTGTTAGAGTGTTATTATTGATTTTAATGGAGTTTATAGCACTCAAAAAACAAAGGGTTTACAAGTGATGACAGTGGTGGTGAAGGCTGTGGTGATGGTGGGGGTAGTTGTAGTGGCGGTGCAGGGGTAGTAGTGGCGGTGGCGGTGGGAGTGAGGTGGCGCTGGCGGTAATGGTGATGCTAACGGTGGTTGTGGTGGTGACGGTGGGGGTGATGGTGGGGGAAACATCACCCTTAGTATCGGCTGTTGTGATGGTGGGGGTAGTTGTAGTGGCGGTGCAGGGGTAGCAGTGGCAGTGGCGGTGGGAGTGAGGTGGCGCTGGCGGTAATGGTGATGCTAACGGTGGTTGTGGTGGTGACGGTGGGGGTGATGGTGGGGGAAACATCACCCTTAGTATCATTTCTTGGTATTTTTTTTGTCCTTAAATAGGCGAAGGAAACATGTGAGATGAGTGACAGACAATGAATTTAAATGCGCGGAAATTCTATTTCTTTTGTAAATCTGTAATCCCATCAACAACTTGGTCAATGTGTACAACAAACCAAAGATAGAAGGCAAAAGCAGACCATCTGTTATTCACAACATATGAAGAATGGGGCAAATCTCCATATTCAACCTTATTATTTGGAACCGAAAACAAGGTTCAACAAGGAACAACTCCTTCAGAGGAACCCTACAACATCTAACTGCTACATCTTGGAAAATTAAAAGAGTTGAAACTAATCCATATCTCAATATTTCATCATCCAATTTAAGTTCTTCCCTAAGCAAGGGCACCCGTACATGCTGTGGCTGGAGCAGCGTCAAGCTGTTTCTTCGCAGAACTGTATTTCTTGGTGACAAATCTGTATTGGGCAGGGATATACCAAAAAAATCAGTACAGTACTACCCATATTATAACACATCTTCAACTTGATATGTTTGAATTTCGAGCTAAAGTAGAGAATAGGGTGTATACGCAAGAGCCAAACAGGTGATGGTAGAATCGTTGATATAGAGAAGGACAAGATGAAATAATAGTTCTCATGTGATTTTAGCTTCATGGTCTGTCTATTTACCTGAAGAAATCCCTCCACAGCAACTCAAACATCAACCAATTCATTCCACTGCCACCATCATCCCGGTTTGAGGAAGCAGAAATTGTTCTATCAATCATAAAATCGCATTGAACAGTGAGTACATATCAAATATAAATTTTAGAAACTAAAGCACCATTTAAGAGAAAGGCATAGGCACACCTGTTAGCAGTTTTCTTAAGCTCATCAAACATACTGCGGGGAGAGAGGCATCCCATGGCCAGCCATGGAGAGATCTTGCATGAAAAGTTTGCACCATATATGCTATCATGGCTTCCATCTTTGCCACCCTTGGGTGGTTGTGCTTGGCACTCAGCTGCAAACTTTTTGAGCCTCTCTAGGGCTTCAGCTTCCCCTCCCACCATGGAAGCATTGGCAGCTGGTCTTCCATCCTATAAGATGAGATGAAAATATTGTCACTTGATCCAGGGAACAGGTCAAAAAATATTATCACACAACTATAAAAAGGTGGAAATTAACACATACTTAAGTCTTTATATACTAAGATGCCAAGCAAGGCCTTATTGATTCTATAAACTTGTTCACCTTTTCCATTATCCTGATGTAAAAGATTGTTCATTTCTATTTATCTTGCAACCTCGACATCATCAATTCTCAATTATATCCACAGAACAATCCGTCCAAAACACATTCGATGAAAACTATAGGATCAAAGATGAGTTAATATAACAACTCAGAAACTGAAAGTCAAACCTGAGACATTGTAGCAGATGGATTAAGACCCAAATCCATTAAGGAAGGAATATCCCCAGGCTCCACATCACCACGAGACGGCAAGCCCTTCATTTGTTCCAAAGCCTCAATCGTCTTCCTCACCTCCAATCCCTTTACTTTCTCTCTAAACCCACCATAATTCGTGGGCATTTCCTCCAACTTAAATGGCAAATCATCCATATGGTACAGAGTGCTTCCCCAGAAGTACTTGACCTCCACATTCTCCTCCTTCATAGCGGCTTCGATCTTCTCCTCGGCCTTAACCTCGTCGTGCGAAACCTCTCTGTGCGCATAAATGGCGTCGGCGCCGATTGCCTTGGCCAGCTCCACCAAAACCGTCTCGGGCTTCCCGATTCGGACCACCAGATTGGACCCTCTTGCCTGGAGATTCTTGCGGAGGTCTGAGACCGATTCAACCAAGAAGGACGCACGGTATGGACCGGTCTTATCGAACCCAGAAGAGGATTTTCCGTAGTCTCTCGGATCAAAGCAATAGACGGGCAAGACTGACATGGACTCGTTGCTGGCCGAGTTGAGGCACTCGTTATCGTGGACACGCAAATCGTTTCTGAACCAGACAATGGAAGCTCGGCGAATTGCGGCCCCATTGGAGGGGTCTAGAGGACGGCGAGGGCCTAAAGTGAGAGGGTTTTGCAGAGGGTTGGCTGAGATGGTGGACTTGAATGAGAGCTTCGGAGGAGTTACATTGGCCGTGGATAGAGAGAGGTGAGCCAAGGAAGAGGCCTGAGTAGGTACCTTGACCTTGTTTGGCTGGGAAGAAAACAAGGTAGAAACTTTGGGTTGTTGAAAAAAGTGGGTGGGGAGGATTGTAGAGAGAGAAAGAGAGAGGGAAGCAGTGGCAAAAGGAGGAAGTGATGAGGAAGGCACAATGGCAAGTGCGTTTTGTTCCTCTGACGATTTAGATTCTGGGTTTTCCGATACTTGGAGATTGGGGTCCATTTTCTAGGGTTTGTTTGAGAGATGGAGCAGAGATTGAAGATAAGCTAATGTCTTCCTGGTTCGCTTTGGCTACCTCTGGTTTGCTCGCTCAGTCTCACTCACTATTTCTCTAGATTGTCTGATTGTGTGTGTTTTCCGCGGTTGGTGGCCTTGTGATTTTTGCGGGTTTTAAAGCCTTTGGTCTCTTTGCATCCAAATTTGCTTTGTTTAATAATCAACATGCCTGCACCTAACATTTTGCACTAACTTTTCGCATTTCAACTTCAACAGCCTTCAGTCTAATTCAGATAATTAGATGGGTCGTATAGCCTTTGGCCCGCTAGAACTCCAATTCAATCCTTTTTTTTTCTTTAAAATATTATTTAAAAATAAGGTATACTGATAGAGGGAAAATCGAACACAAGATCTTATATACGCTCTAGGATCCCATCACCAATACTCTCCATACTCTCCATTCTTGTGTAGTTTATCATCCAAGATAAATGGGGATTTAGGCTTATCAAACTTCTTTTTATTGCAGTTACCGAATTAATTAGATCAATCTCCACAAGATTTGGGATTGTGGCACAGCTATGTGTTCATTAAGCTGATGGGACATCAACGTTGGTTGTGGAATGGGTCCTAAGGTGTTAGGTGCATTATGAAACCCCTTGATTTTAATTCCTGAATAGACATGGTTCGTCTCCTATCATAATCAAAGTCATTGTACACACACCCAAAAATTATTTATGAGATATTTAGTCATATACTCATTCTTAGTACTAATATTATAAATAAATCATACACCACTGAATTTCTAAAAACATACCCAAAAAATGACAACTGGCTCTATTGAATTTAAGTTTAATTATTAAATTACTTTGATACCCTATTGAATATTTTGAGTTTTTTTTATGAGGTTTTAGGGTTGGGCTTGTTTTAAGAAATTGATGACAATTTTGTAATTTATAAGAAGTTAAAAGTCTCTTTGTTATGTTGTAAATGGGCTTTGAATGTTTTTTAAAGTCTATTTTGTATATGGTATTTTTATAATTTGGGTCTCTATATTGGGTATAATAATGAATCTCCCAAAATTTATTCTGCACGCATTCTATTTTTTTCAAATAATACAATTATTCACTCAAATAAGTTTAGTTTAGACGGGGTGTCGTTTAACGCTGGGTCGTTTTGGCTTAACGACTGAGGTCGTGTCGTGTGCGCGCACCGCGCTCCATGCGCAGCGTAAGAGGGCCTGTGTTATGTCTTCAGCCAATACTGAGGCTCAACGTGCGGACGATGAATCCTTCCAAATTCTCGTGAGGCTTATCATCGACGAAGAGTAATCTGAATTGTATGGACTGTTTTTTGGGCTTTGCACATGCCCCGGCTACTGCAATCTTGCGCCGACCGGTAACCTACACTACTTCACGAAAATATGAAAATGGCGGGTTGAGATTGAGAGCAAGGCTCGTCGAAGAAAATGACCCATTACTTCAATCCGCCTTAGATTCAGCCTCTCTTCGTTTCCGAGAAACCCATCGACCAGGCAAGCCCATATCCTCTGTATTTGACACTTTTCTTTTTCAGTGGGGTATTTTATCAATCAAATAGCTCTTAATGATTCGTATTATTATGGATGATCTGTTTTTGTTTTTGTTTTATAGTAGCAAATCAAGTGACGCAAACAACTTATAAAGAATGCATCTTTATTTCAATTTTGTGTGCAATTTCTGATTATGTGATTAGTACTTGCAATTCATGTGCAGAGCCTCTCTTTGTTGATCCGTATGCCGGTTGCTTTGTTGCTCCTAATGCTCAGATGGATATGAAGCAATCCTCGGACCATTATTGCCTTGCAACTAAATTCATTGATGATAAGTTGCTCCGTACAGTGAACCATATTGATGGACTTAAGCAGGTAGTTTTTGTTTGTCTAGAGATAAGATTTAACTTCATATACTTGTTCTTGTCAATCCTTAAGTTTTGATGGTATTCTTCTTGAAAGTGCAGGTTGTTT